GAGTACGAGGATCTGCTCGTCGGCGCCGGGTATGAGCGCGACTGCGTGCAGATGCGCGATCTCTCGGACCATGTCTTTGCGGGGCTGGCGGGTTTCATCGCGCGCAAGAACGAGGAACTGCGCCGGTTTGGGATGACCGTGGGCAAGTTCCGGGGGGCAGGGGCTGTGTTTGGCTGGTGGGCGAGGAGTGGCGTGGTTCGAGGAACGGTGATTATTGCAAAGAAACAGGGTCTATAGTCCAAAACTGCTCTTGTACATTACACATTATCTACTTCTTTAGTCATAAGCATCCAGCATTTCTTGTACGTCCCCCGAATGAGCTGCCGTCCATGAGACCACAACCAAGAAACAACACACCACGTCCCAGCTGACACTACTCACAGCCGGATGCTCGGACATGGCGCTTAGGAGTCGTCGCCAAAGCGTCCCCTCCGGTGTCGCGGTCAAAGCATATGTAGACTGCGCCACCAGAACCACCAAAATCGCAAACAACCACTTGAAAACCCTCGCGTACCGTCTGGCAGCCACAGCCACCGGCTGACTCTTCCCCCAACCCCTAGGCAGCATACCTGGCGACAGAGCCCCGGGGACAAACAGCAACAGGTGCGGAATCAGCAGCACGGGCATAAAGTAGCTCGTGTGCGCGACCAGGGGGACGACCGCCGCACTGAGCAGCGAGATAAGCACCGGACCGACCTCAAGCAGCGCCGGCGGCACCCACAGCGTCCCGTTCCCACGGGAGTCGTCGCCACTGCGAGACGCAGTCGCAGACTGCCGAGGAGTAGACTGAGACTGGCGCGGTAAGGAGACCACCACCGTCGCGGCGAAGAGACTCTGCGCGAAGGAAATAGCAACGACCTGGCCGAGGAGCATATACGTCCAAACACGGGGGATGTTGAATCGACGGCCTATTATCCATCACGTTAGAATCTTGAAGCTGGTGCTGATGCTGATTTTACAGCGGGGCACGCAAAAAGCAGCATACCCATAACACCCAGAAAGATACTCCACGCAATCGTAAACAGGAAGATCTGTCCGCTCCACCAATGCCGCTCCGGTGTCTCGGAGACAGTCTCCCACGCCTGTTTGAACAACTTCGTGTCGCGCAGCCACAGTTCCCCTTTCATGGGGAGAGAGGCGCGCTCGAGTTCAAGCAACTGGGCGAGGGTGCACTGGCCCCGCCATGAGCGGTAGGAATGAGCGAAGAAGGCGAACATGTAGTACCATGTCGACGCTAGACTGGCGCAGGCCAGAAGGATGAACAGGACGAGTTTGTGGGAATGTTTGCTCTGCCATTGGACGTTGGATTTACAGGTCTGGTAGCGATTGTAGATGGTGAGGCATGCGTGGCCGGCCAGGGCGGAGGCCAGACCCAGGTAGAAGATGAGGATGGGAAGTGAGCGGTATTCTTGCAACATATCGACGGTAATTCTGCTTTAACCTTGGCACATGAAAACCTACTGAGGTGGGATTCGTTGCTATCGTGACAGGATGTCCGAGGTCTGAGGTGATTTAAATACGGACAAAGTGCGCTGGTGATCTCTGATGCCGTGCATAAGCTGGTGGGCCTCGATCAGTGTCTTAATAACGCACACCGTACACAGCACTTAGAACTCGACTATTCAACGGTGTATAAAAATTTTATCCATATCAATTGAGATGAATTAAGTAAAAATTGAATTGCGTTCTAAGTGGAATCCCTCCAACGGGGCTCGCTGATAAACAGACAAATTTAACATATCGTCAATCATAAGACTCGCTCACCACCCTTGGCTCCGTGAGACGCCTTCCTCATTGCCTCCAGATAATGATCACCCAGATACTGGTTCAAAATATAAACAGAGAAGTTGTGATAAAATAACAGAAAATAATATATTCGATACTTTCGCTTTTTGTCTTTTTTTCTTTTTTTTCGATTTAGCTCTGCTCAAGCAGTGCCGACACCGATCTTGGACTCGGAACTACTCCGTTCAGCGTCGGCCTTCTGAGAGGAAAGGAATTTCTTGAACATGTTGGCAATGTCGTTCTCGGATTTCTTGGTCTCCTCCGCCGACTTGCCGTTCTTCTCAGTGATCAGGTTCTTCAGCCATTGATTCTCGAGCTCTAGAGCGGTCACGCGGGCTTCAAGAGCGGCATTCTTCTCAGAGGTCTCTTTGACCGTCTTTTCCAACGCTTGCTCCCGGAGCTTCTTCTTGACCCGGAATCGCGCGCTAGCAGCCGTGTTGCGGCGACGCTTGTCCTCCTCCGCGGCAATGCGGGCAGCCTCCTCCACACTGATAGGGGCCGCCTTTTGCGTGTTCTTGCGCTTGGGACCCGCCGCAGTCGTCGCAGAGGCAGCTGGAGCAGCTACTGGGCTGGTAGCTGGACCAGTAGGCGATGATGCAGAGGAGCTAGACTGACTCGGGTTGGCGTTGGTGTTGGTGTTGAAGGGTGCACTTGAGAGCCCCGAAGGGATTGATGGGATCTTTGAAAACTGCGTATTTTGAATCGGAACCTGAGAGTTGATCGAGTTCAAGTTGGCTGCTGAAAAATCGGGCATATTGCCGAAACCATCTAGGTGTGCGAGATTAGCCTCAGCCCATAACCAATCAGAAATACAGCGCTCCAAAAGCCAAGCTGGGCGACACCAGTGTATGAAACCATGGCAAGACAGAACAACACTGAAGCAATTGAGATTCATGAAAGCGGCCTGGTACACTCATGCCAGATGTATGCAACGAGAATAGCAATGATATGGGTCACGTGATATCGCGCCATAGTCGACCCTGTTCACGACAACGCTAAATTGCAAATTTGATGCACGAAGCACATAACCTTTTTTGAGATAGCCGCGCAAAGACAGGGGAAAAAGGTTCATGCAGACAGGGGTGGGTTTAGGTGCTTTGCTCATCCAATGATGGCCCGTGCAAGCAAACCACAACTATGTGCCCCCCCATGATCCAAAAGGATCATGCAAGATATCACGAGTTGCGTGAGAGAATGAGGGGAAGAAGAAGAAGAAGCAAAAATGTCTGAGCACAATTGACAGTCATAGCATGATTGATCATGTTAAATGGACAGGGGACAAGCCTTCAAGAACGTGTGCGGGGAACAATGGCGCCATATGTCCAGCTTCGAATGAAAAAAAAGCATCAGACCACTAGAAGTAGATTTCACTCACCACCTAGAAGATCCAGAAACTCCATATCGGAATTGCGGGTGGTATGTCCTCCATTCTGCCGTTCCGTTGGCTTCGCGCTGTCTTCATTTACKGCATCAAACGTAGGCAGGTTGAGATCTCCGAGATTGTCGAAATCGAAGAACTCGGTATTTGTGAACAACGAGAGATCAGCATCGAGATTGAAAGTATCTTGTCTCTGTTGCTGCTGCAAAGCCTGGTCGTAGGGCGAGGGAATGGCATTCAAATCATCGAGGTATTGGGAGAAGTTGGGGGCGCGGCGGCCGTTGTAACCGGACATGATGTATGAGTGAGGCTAAGCCTCTATCAAGTTCTCGAGACAAATCGAGTAGTAGCTGTTGGCTGTCTTCCTTTGCGTTTCGTTCAGATGATGCCTTGTGAGAGTGTCAAATGTGTGTCAAAGACGCAGGGGTCGATGACTCGTCTATATGACTCCGCCGTATCGATCCGAGAAGATGTCGTAGCACTTGTCAGATGTGCTCGAATAATCGCGTCGAGGTCGAATTGACTATGGAAGAGGGTCCGGAGATGAAAGAGTAGAAGAGAGAGGAACGAAGAGACCAGTCGATAATAATGAATAATACTCACGGTGGAACGCGGGACATCGGGGAGGTGGGTGGGAATTTGCGCAGGGTGGGGTGGATGATTAATCCGGCGGAAGCAAGTCAACACTCTTGAAGATGAATGGTCAAAGCGTTCCGATCACGATGATTAAAAATCAAAGAAGGGTTTCTCAGCCGGCATTTGACAAAACCAAACGACTAATCTATTGATGCTTGATAGTGTTCTATTCATTTATTTTATCCCTTCTACTGCATGCAAAATACAAAGCACGCTCTATCTAGAATATACAATTGAACACCTTCACTGGAATCTCCTTCGTCTCTGACCATCAACAGCATCGAAGTAAAACTTTCTTTGTCTCGCCACTGTGCCTTATTGACTTTCCGTATCGAGAAAAGATTACATCGCTTCCGAGTCATCTTTTTCGGCGGCCGAGATCGGAGTCCAACCGGATTTTAAAACGCCTCGAACCAGGCACTGGCCAATCTCCGGAACCATTATTTCACGATGAAGTATGCGAATGGCGGTGATCTCTCTCGAATATGATTCTCAAGCTGTTCTTGTCAATACCTCACTCTACTTAGGTACTATGCTCCGTATGCTATGCAACCTATGTCTGAGTAGCCTGTAGCTGTGTCTCTGCTGAAATTTAGCATGTGTTCAGTGTGACTGCTGAATGCTGAGAGAGCCGCTCACTCCTGAACAATCACAAGGAAACAGATTCCCGCACATTAATAATCAGCCTGCCTTATCTCGTATTCCTTTCCCTCGTGCGTTGGTGGGTGGCCCCAAAGCCTCGAGCTGACTGGTTGTTCCTCAGTCACCTTTTTTGGGTTTAGCTTTTTTGTCCATGACGCGGTTTGCGCATGAATCTCAGTTGCTGTCCTAGCCATGACCCTTGCAACTATACTCTGCAGAGCTCATGATGCTGCAGATAAGCTACCCTATGCCAGTAGACTTCCCTTGGCCTTCTTCCTAGTTTCTTCAGTGTGTGTCCGTGCCCTAACGTATAGATGGAGCGCGGGTGTGCAGCACTATTAGTAATAATGCTGCATACTTGCTTATCCTATGAGGTGTGAAGCAACTTATCGCCACGTGACTTATTTGCTTTGTTTATTCTGGTTCCATCTTGCGTGTTTGCTCTGCGGTCGCAATCCAGCTCTCACCAAGGAATTGCGCGCCATTGTCATGTAATTCAGCCTCATCATTGATTATGCTTCGACCATAGTGTAAAGTCGATCATTCAATCCATATCAGAATGGCGCGTCCAAAGTCTATCCGTGCGCCTACAGCCGCCAGTCTACCCAACACTCTCCGCATCCCCTCCTCGACCCCCTCTCTGATAAAGTCATTCTCTCGGCTATCCCGCCAGGCTCTTCTGGACCTGGTGTTTCAATGGCTCGATGATCGCAACGCGCAATTGTTTCCACCGTATCTTGAGCAAGACGAAGCCGAGAACCCCGACGAAGATGAACTCAGCCCGTACCCGGCCGCCGAATCGATCGAGGACGTGCGGAATGCTTACCAGGATTTACAAGACAGGAAAGGCGGCAAACGCGAGGTGATTGATCGTATATTGGAGGGCGACTGGCGACACGGTATTACTTTGCGCCAGCTGGCAATGGTGGACATTCGGTATATGGAAGACCATCCAGCAAGTCTGCGATGGACCGCATTTGAACTCGGTCGCATTGGCATGGATGGACCTCGATCCGCAGGAGCAACGGCGCCTGACGTTTCGGCATGTCTACCGCGCATCCACGCCGCTACTTTCCTGAGTAACCTTCAGCAGCAGATTTCTCCCCTGGTGAAAGCGCATTACCATCTCGTTCGCTCGTCCTCGCTTCCGCTCTCATTCCTGCGCATCTTAGTGACTAATTCTCCATACCAAAACCCTCGCCAGCCACCTGAGGCTCTGACGGACTCTTCGCGAGTGATGTACGTGGCTTTCCCCGATAGTTGCCCCTTCATCTACACGTCCATAGCATCATCGCCCGTCGCAAAATCAACTACATCCACCAACCATGCCGTCGCAACCGATGCTCGGAGTCTGCAGCGCATTGTACGAGACGCTTTACCCAAAGCATTATCGCGGCCACAAGAGCGATACGCTTTAAGAGCGACCTCTCTGACAGCGAAGAATCTGCAAGCTTTGCTGGCGCTCCGCGGTCCTGGAAGATCCAACGCGGCCAATGGAGCGTTCAGTATATTCGCCGACGCGGTACTCGAAGGGAGTCCCTTGGACCCACGTCCGTCGGATACAATTTCTCCGGAAGAGCACTTCCACCAAGAGTCAGATCATGGCAAGGAGAACGAAAACCAGGAGGACAGCAATACGGGCAAAGGAATGGAGCCTACTTCGCATATCGCCAAGAAGCGCAAATTAGCCGTTCATTCTCGTTTTGGCACATCGGGAACCCTCTCGTCTGCCCCTCTGGACCGCCTTGACGTGCGCCTGCTTGATCCGGCGAACGACGAGGATGACGAACATGATGTGGACCGCACGCAGCCAACAGTTTCACTCACCTTTGCCGGCTCGGACGTCATCAGCGGTATCCGCAAGCTTGCCGAACTGGGTGTTGTCGAGCCGGAGCGTATGCCTTCATGGATGACGGGCGAAGAAGCAGTCAGCGTCGCTGTTGTTCATCGAGGAAAGCGTATAATCAAAGATGGTTGACAGCAAGAGCAAGTCTCAAGAAACTTCTGATCGCCAACCAGCAAAACATTCCGAGGGAGAATCACGCTGGAACCCCACCCGACGCAACTGCCGCAGCGCAGTAGGCACCCGCGAAATACGGCTCGGCAAGATCCCAGGCTCTGTGTACGCCCATGACATTGAACATTGGACGTGTGGAGTCGTCAAGGTCGATAGCGCAGGCACCGACGATTACCTGTCAAGACTCTTGATGTACTGCGACTAGGCGAGCAGGATTCCGAGTCTGATCCGAGCCTCATAAGGTCAAATAAGGTCAATAGGTGGATATACTGCACATCTACGGGTTACACAGCTACACAGCGGTGCCTCGGACAGCAAGCGAAGTATCATTGGGATACATCAAGCAACACAAATACAGATAGGGGTATATAGCAATCTAGACCAATCCAAAACCCAGTGACCGACGCCCTTGCACCATGTAGCACGCAAACTCATTACCATCGCGAACGCCACGACCTACGTGACCCATAATAGGACGATCCCGGGGAACCCCAGTGCCGATAATATGTTGAAGAGTCTATCACCAAGCGTTAAAGATTAGCAACCTTTCCAAGAAACAAAAATCCGGGCGAAGGGGACAAGTACAGGGACGGTCTCGTACCGCGTTCGCCAGGCATGCCGAGCAGATGCCCCACATTGACATAACCTTCTTCGTTGACGTATCCGTCCTTGGCGAGCTGTTTTAGATCCAGTTCGCTGCTACCGGTCTCCCATGCAGAACGGCTAGACGAGAGTCAGTATATGTCCGCAGTCTTTGTACAGGTAGCAGAACCCACCAGTAAACGCAACGCACCCCCTGCGCGTTCTGCGTTGCAGCCCATTGCAAGAAACAGGTCTTGTGAATGTTATTCCCGCATGCTGCGCGGCACCAGACGATCTCGTCTTTTTCCGGCTCGAGTTCCATGAAGCAGATGGGACAGTCTCCTTCGATGGGCTTGCGCTTGCCATTGTTGTCCTCCGACTGTTCCTTTTGGCTACTGAGGGGCGATGACTGGTACATTTCACGAAGTTCCTGCATGCGATTTGCGTAAGCAAATTTATACAATTGCATCCTTTGCGTGAACCCTTACCGAGGATAAGAATGCCAGCTGGTACTGTAGATGCTCCGGGGCTTTGAGGGCGTTAATTAGGACTTGATAGGCCATAGTAGTTAGCGACCGTAAGAATAGAATAAAGATATAACGCCAGTGATGGGCGAATAGGGGTCACAATCTTCAAAGAAAGGCGTATGCATACCGTAGAATATGTGCTTGCACTGATTGCCTTTACCTCCATCCGGACAGTCGCAGGAAGGCACCTTCCCAATCACAATGGTGTACAGATTCCCCGTTGTCCCCGCCATTTTAAACACGACTTCAGGCGCATCATCGACCTCGGTGACACAGTGTTCCACGACACACATCCTGCTCAATGGCCGGGTCAGTGAAAGACGCATGAAAGCAGTACGGCCAGTCCTACCTCTGGGTTCGTGCCCGCATCATCCTTTCCATTATACACTTGGGCGCCTGTTTACGAAACGGCTTAGCGCGTCGCTCGGGAGTCGGCTGGCCAGAAAGGCGCTTCTTGGGGCTTCGAGTCTTCTTGGTTGGGGTCGTGACGGGTGAGTCTGCTGTCAAGTCGATCACCTCGACGGAGCCAGCTGAGGCTGCGGAGGCGGTATTCACTCGTCTCCGGACATTTTTTACTGGAGTTGTCAATAATTTGATCTCATCATCGGCGTCCCGTTTTCTCTTGGTTGTTGGTCGTGTATTGCCGGTCGTGCTCGTGCCGTAAACTCGACGTTGCGCCGGCGAGGAGCGGGTGATTGTTTGACGAGATGTTGTCGTTCGTGTACTTCCCATATTGACTAGCAGTACAAGCCACGTATACAGCGACACGAATGGGAAAAAGTGGTAGACGTTGATACACCGATCTGAGCTACGGTGGCGTTCGACAAGTTGATAGATTTGTTTTGAGACGCGACCTGGAACGCTGACATAATCACATCCTTCAATCGACGAAAATGGACGTAAACCTGATACTGTGTTGATTCTTTTGATATTGCACCTTGAATATTGGAATAATCTCTCCTTTGTGCCTACCTAGAATATTCCAATAAGGAGTCGATGACACAAAACGGCGTAGATATACCATCATCATATCTGGAGGTTTGCTGGGTTTGTGTACTTTGTCCTGTTTGCTGGCACCGATAAGTTATCAAGATAGCGATAACAAGGAGACACAGCATTCTTGCCAAATATTTCGAGATTGACGGCTTTCCCTTCTTTTGTTACCTTTATTCCTTTCATAGGAGCTCTGATATATCAATGGATCTTGACCACAGCATTTCCAGTCGCCGATGGCCTGAAATATGACCTGCATATGCTCAACTGTTATATTTTGACTGTTGTAAGAGGTAATCTGAAGATAAGAGACTGCTATACCTTTTTAGGAAAGATTATGTAACCCCGCATGACTACATCTTAGCCCAAACAGATGATTATCGTTGGTGTTTTCAAAGATTCCTCATGGTATGATAGACTGAAGGAATAACTCCTTCAGGGTAGACATATGGCTCGTCCGCGAGGCTACTCGGGAGCTGATAGCTCCAAAGAACCCCATGCGGTCTCCCTAAAAGGTATGCACAATTGGGATCTCAACTGAAGCTACCACTCGCTGATGCGGCCTCAGTATTGCGGTAAGCCGAGCTCCAAGAAGCGTTCGGCTATCATGCTAACCAAGTAAGGCTGTCACGGCCTTCACTATCCAACCAATACCCCCTTCCGGCTGCAAACACCAAGATCTCAAGTAAAGCATCCCTGAGCTATCCATCCGACAATACCGATGACAAGTTCATCCTTAGTCCTAACGTAAGCACTCATCGCCTTCCACCAAGCACAAGCTAACAAACCTGCAGCTGACTTTGCCGCCCTCCTTTGGCTCGGCATACGTCGGGGAAACGTTCGCCTGCACGCTCAGCGCCAACAATGAGCTGCCGGAGGACGAGACCTCGCGCGTCGTCACATCCGTCCGCATCGTCGCGGAAATGCAGACTCCATCCCAGGTAGCCTCACTGGACCTGGAACCAGTGAACGATCCGGCCCAGACGGACGGCCTGCAAAGGGGACAGTCCCTGCAGAAAATCGTCCGCTTCGACCTCAAAGAAGAAGGGAACCACATCCTGGCTGTCAGCATCAGCTACACCGAGACGCTGATCGGCTCCGACGCGCAGGCTGCCAGCGGCCGGGTCAGGACCTTCCGCAAACTGTACCAATTCGTGGCTCAGCCGTGCCTCAGTGTCAGGACGAAATCCTCGGAGCTGGCTCCGTTGGAGGTGGAGAATAAGTCGTTGGGACCGTACGGGAAAACCCGGCTTCTGCGATTCGCTCTGGAAGCACAATTGGAGAATGTGGGGGATGGCACCGTGGTTGTCAAGGTTTGTGGGAGAGGTACTTTTACTGGGTCATATCATGTCTGACTGCCGGACAGCAAACGAAACTCAATCCCAAACCGCCGTTCAAAGCCGTTTCCTTGAACTGGGACCTGGAGAGGCCGGACAAGGCCGACTGCCAGCCGCCCATGCTGAACCCACGGGATGTCCTGCAGGTTGCATTCTTAGTTGAGCAGGAAGAAGGCCAGCAAGAGGGACTCGAAGCTTTACAAAAGGACCTGAGACGAGATGGCAGGGCCGTCCTGGGGCAACTTTCGATTGAATGGAGGGGTGTTATGGGGGACAAGGGGTTCTTGACTACCGGAAATCTGTTGACAAGGAGGCGATCCTGAGGTAATCTAGTGCTTATACATCCAATCACCTTTGCAATAATGAAGTCTCAAGGAGCTCCATGAGTGCTGGCTTTGTCATATGTCAATAGACTACAGAGTGTATTATTCTAATAAGAGCCTCCGCCATTTGTTTCATCAACAGATGCATAGAAATTCTCATAGCTGCTGCTGCATGGCTCCATTCCCCCAGAGATCTACAAGATAACATTTGTCGCCATGATGTACCTCCCGCCAGGAGATGTCAATAGTCTAACAGCTACTGCGTTACTGCCTTGACTTCTTGAGCGCTAGAGAAGGATGATACTTGGTATTCTCACTTGCGGTGAGATCCTTTACATTACTCAAGGTAGGTATCGAGATAGGAGAGTGGAGAAGTAGTGGATAGAAAGGATGTGAATGAGATCAATAGATTAATTGACCTAGAGAACCTATGAATATATACAGTACAGTACAATGCCTTTTCCTCCAGCCGAATGCGATCCATATCCATTTCCAAACCAGGTATCACAAATTCCAACCAAGTTTCCTTTCCACGATGCAGCCCAATCCAGTAAATCAAGAAATATAGTAAAACAGTTCCTCTCGACGAATTGACGTTCCAGCATCCACAACCAAAGGGGTATCTATTCCTGTTTTCTGTAGCCTCCGGAGCCGCGAGGCTCAGTGTAGTAGGGGTCTAATCCCAGAGCACCTGTGCTATGCACACTATTGATATCCCGCGGGTACTCCAAATCAATCCGGTCGCTTTGTCAGAACGATCGCAAGAAGAAAATGAGAGCAAAAATTTTGAGATCACAAGTGCCGCCCGAGATATTAGAAGTATCGACAACGAAGGTACGGATCAAAATAAGCGATGGCATCGTATAAAGCATGAACGAAGATAATCAAAATCTGATCGATCAAAAAGTCATAAAGTCGTAAGATAAGCTCAATGACCGTCAGTGTACGGCCGTAATCAGCATATAAAAAAGAAGATATGGCTAATAGAATTAACCATTGGTAGCGACCGACTTCGGCTTGGAAGGATGAGTCCAGGCGAAGAGGTCAAATTTGTCCTTAGCGTTCTCCATGATAGAGGAGGCGCTAGACTCTGGCTGCAAAGTCGGCCGCGGCGTGATCTCGCGCGGCTCCAGAATGAGAGAGCGACGATAGAAAGTCTGCAGGCTCTTTTCGCCGTTGGAACGCACCCGCACCAGCTC